ACCGACCCAGTGCTCCAGAGACCATATCGCTTCCAGTTCCTCTCTTCCCTGTCCTCTGATGCTAATTCAAGGAAAAGCAGCTGCAAACCCCACTGTCTTCCCCCCGCCGCCTGCCAGGCGTGGATGTTCCCCCTCACCTAAGGCACACACAGCCAGCGCAGTAGCTGGCACTGCCAGGCACACTGCCACGGGCTACTCACGCTGAATCAGGCCTCTGCTGTAAATTGGTGTGGCAGGCACCTCAGAGGGGAAATCCGGTGACTGTTTCATGGTACAGGGCCAGAAATTACACAGCAATATTTGGGCAGCAAGTGAAAAGCAGAAAAGCCTGTGCTGTTAACATAGCAGTGAGGAGATAGCAGGTTACCATCAGGGATTTTCCCTGCAGACCCCAGTCAAGCAAAACTCACTCTGAAATTTGGCCAAGATGCTAGGATTCCTTACAGCAAAAACTGTTACGGGATCTTTACTGAGCACTTGGGCAGAAACTCTGTTCTGTTCTATGTCTAGCATACATTTCTAAGACAGTTAGGTAGCTCTGGTATAGAATTCTGCCCATCTGAGCACAAAGCCACATCTTGTATGGGCATATGTAATTTGTCATTTTATGCCTTTGGTTTACAGTATTTATATTTCTTTTATTAGAGCCAAGTAGCACCAGCAGAGGTTAAGATGTCAGCATTTTCACTATAAACCCAGCTCTTTCTGAGGGTTAGGTAACATTTCTTTTGTACCACACTATATTGAAATTCTGCCATGCAGATGCTGTCCAAGACATAAGGCATTTATTTTCCATCAAATTTTATTTGAAGTTATTATGGTAGTTAATGGTTTAGAAAAATGTCAAAAAACGTAAATTCTAAGCTCTTTTTCATTGTTCTTGCATTATATATTTCAAAAATGGCTTAACATATCCTTTCTCTTAGCCTTTAATACAGACAAACCAAATGGAGACAGCTTAAAAGGAATGTCCTGCTTTGGAAGGTTTAAGCATAGCCTTTCTGTGTAAAGAATTTCCAAAGCCACAGCTCACACTCAGTCATCCAGGATGTTGTGCTATGGAGCACAGTAACACAAGATGTCCTGCTGGAGTAGATGGGAAATACCTCCACAAGCAAAGGGGGAAGACTCACAGAGCCTAAACCTAGTATTTTAAGCTCCTGCCAGTTAAGTGGGGACACTCAACACCTCAGTGGAAGGAGCAAAATGGACACAGGTCTGACCTCAGCGAGTAGGTGGTGTAACCATCACATCGTGTGGTCTGTGCCAATGGGCAGTCAACGGGAAGAAGGGACCAAGTTCCCTTAGACCTTCTGGAGATTCTGTGCTTGACAAATAGAAGATACTGTAGCACTAGCAAGCGTCTGTGTCAGAACTGGCCTGGAAGGGAAAGGTGGTGCATTTGGAGGTACTAATAGTAATTTTGCAATGTTCAACTGTCAGAAGTATATGTAGACTTGCGTTACTAACATCTCCACATAAAGCATGAATGTTAATCATACTGGATTGTTTATACCCTTTGCAGTTACAGAGAGAACATGCCAAGATCCTCAAAGACTTATTTTTCCTCTTTTTCTTTTATCCCACAGGTAATAACTCCAGTCAGGTCAGGACAAGGTTATGTTTATGAATTCCCTTCCAAATACCAGAAGGATACCTATGATATCCCCCCTGTTCGCCCTCTCCAAGGGGTAGGTACCAATAAAACTGCCAACAGCATTGACAGGGCACAAAAGGTGATGAATTTGTACCAGAAGTTTATGAGCAAAGCAAGTTCTCTCATTTCAGAGAGAAAATATGTTTTAATTAGATGCAGTGGCTTACTCACAGAGCGCAGAAGTATTTCAAAGTTGTATTTGATGTTGACTAAGATTTGGCAACACACCAAACACAAAAGTCCCATTTGTTTTCTGTGTTTTGATCAAAGAGTATATCCAAACAGAATAAACTTGCTGCCTGGGAACAATTTTTTTTCCCTTACTTTGTTGTCGCAGGCTTGACAGTAATTTACTCAGTGAGGGTAAAATTATCGCCTAGATGAACAGCTATTGTGCAGGGAATTATTTTCACCACATATCTACTGCACCGTGTCACTGAACTTGAAACACATCTTTGTTCTGGGGAACACCCTTAGCGTTCAATCCCCAAGACCACAGACATCTAGAGTGAATGCTTGCAGGACCTGTAACTCAACACCGTGGCTCTTTGGCAGAGCAGCTCCTCTAGGGAACAACATTGAAGCCCAATAGTACATAGCACAGACTGACACCAAATGGCTGGAACTGTTGGGAAGTCTGGGTTAAGAGACATTCAGACAGTGGCCGTAGACCATACACAGAACCCCCTGTAACCTAGGACATGCCACCAGGCAGGACACTTGAAACATCTGAGAGCACTGCTTTCTGCTAGTAAGACAGCTCACACTGCACCCAATAAAGCAGATAAGCGATGCTGACAGGGGCAGCCTTAGTTTCAGAGGGTTTAGTGTGTCCTAGCACAAGCTTATTCCTCAATCCCTCCAATCTCTTATCAGTAAAGGTGTGATCAGTTCTGGTCACATGAATGTACTGCTCCCCTGTTCACCCCAGCAGGTATCTGTAATAGACTGGCCTTGATTTAACTCTCAGGATGGAAGCCAGCCATGACTTCATCTCTCCAGCCTGCCATCCACACAGTTGCCCAGAGGGTACCTAGCAAAGTGCATTTCCTCGTAACTGTCCAAAATATCAGGCAAATCCAAGCAGCTCTCACATATGAAACAAAGTTGAGGGGCTCTGATCATCCTCAGGCTGTTTGAGAGGAAACACAGAAACCAAGAAAACTCATCTGAGATCAGAGCTTTTCTGAGGTGACTTGTTTCAGTAACCAATTTGTTCTTTCTTTAGATCTATGACATTCCCCCCACATCAGCTAAGGGGTCTGCACTTCCAGTTCCCATGGGAGAAGCGAAAGGTTTAGGAGTCTATGACATACCACCTGCCAAAGGGGTAAGTATTATGCTGTTTCCAGTAGATCCTGTATTTTCATGTCTGACCAAAGACATGTTTAAACAAGAGTTCATATATGATCCTGAAGAAAAAGGACATACAGTACTTTAAAGATTTCCTTAGGTTTTTAAACTGTTAAAACTGGTAAAATGAAACACTGCATCAAAATTATTAACGTTATGGAGTATGAATTGATAATTAGACCTACATTATCTTTGCTGCCTTTTTGGATTTTCCTGCTTATGAGAATTTGCATCAAGGTGAATGTTAAATAGTGAGATATTAAAAGTGACGCTCAAACTCAGGATAACTAGCTGATGCCATGAAAGTCAATGGCAGATCTTCCAACCCAGCACTTTATAGGCCATATGGAAGTTGTAAAATATTTTACTACTCTAGCCAAAGGTTTCATGGTTTGCTTTCTGTGATTCAGGTCTATGCTACACCTCCATCTGCATGCCGAAGTGATACAGGCCTGAGGGAAAATTTGCATGATTTTTCATCTCCAGTGGGCCACGGTATGAGACCAGAAGGAGTATATGATATTCCTCCTCCCACCGCCAAAGCAACTGGGAAAGAACTTAATAAATTTCCCCCTGAGAGCCTCTTATTGCCAGATGGAGTGCCACAAAAGCGGAGTGTTTATGACATCCCTATGAACCATCAAAACCATTTTCTTGGACAGCAAATTGCACCTCAAAAAGATGTTTATGATACCCCAAGGGGAATTGCATTCCCAGGACAACAGACAGGACTCAATGAAAGTCTCATCCCAGAAGGAAGAGAAGGTATATATGATGTGCCACCACCCGTTCTCCAAGACACTAAAGGCTTACAGGACGTGACCGATGGGATAAATAGGTTGTCTTTCTCCAGCACAGGAAGCACAAGGAGTAACATGTCCACATCTTCAACAACATCAAAAGAGACCTCTTTCTCAGCGTCAACTGCACAGGACAAAAGACTAATCCTTGATCCAGACACTGCTATAGAGAGGCTTTATCGCCTGCAGCAGATGGTGGAGACAGCTGTCAATAACCTCACGGCCTTCATTACAGCAGACTGGCGGTCTTACGGATATATGGAGAAGCACATCAATGAAATTCACACTGCTGTGGATAAGGTAGAGCAGTCCCTGTTGGAGTACCTCCAGTTTGCAAAAGGATCGGCAGCCAATGCTTCCTGCCTACCTGAGTTCAGCCTCCTAAACAAAATGAGGAGGGAAGTACAAAGGCTGGAAGACTCTCACCAGATCCTTACCCAAACCAGTCATGACTTAAACAGCTACAACTGGTCTTTGAATGTTCTAGCTGTCAACAGACTGCAGAACAAGTGTGATGACCTGGATCGGTTTGTTATGGTGGCAAGGACAGTCCCAGATGATGCCAAGCAACTGACCACTACCATCAGCATCAATGCAGAGGTGCTCTTCAAACAGGCGTTGAGCAGCTCACGTTTCAAAAACGTACCAGAGAACATCATGAACACTCCTGACTATGTATATGACAATCCTCATACGCAGCATCATGGAGAAAAAGCACAGAACCACTGCAGTTCCCTTCCTCCGCTCCTGAGTAAAGGTCAGCAGCCTCACAGTACCATCAGTGAGAGCTCGGAAAAGAGCTGGATGGATGACTACGATTATGTTCACCTGCAGGTAGGTAAACCCAAAACCTTTGTCTGCACAAGGCCCAGTAGGACTTGATGCTTCTGTTTGCAAAAGCTGTGCGCAGGAAGGGAGTAATCACATTGTCACACTAATACACGTTCAAGAGTAATGTCAGCAGGGCAATTACTTGCTTTCAAATAGGACTGTTGCATAGATAATAGCAATAGCCTTTTGCTCTACCACAAAATCCTTTTCTTCTCCATGCTCTTAGTGGTGCACTATTGGTAAAAAAAACAGTACAAAGCAGCCAGTTACCTGACCTATGAGTTGTCATTTAGCTCAGGAGGAGTTCTGATTTAACACCGTGTCTTCTTATATTATACAAAACAGGGGAAAGAAGAGTTTGAAAGGCAACAGAAGGAGCTGCTGGAAAAAGAAAATATCATCAAGCAGAGCAAAATGGAGCTAGAGCACCACCAGGTATGTTCGCTCAGGTGCAATACACACATTGAAATGCAGTGTTCCTTTCACTTAAGTACTGGTCAAATAAAGCAGGAGGAGCCCTTCCCTTAGCAGTGTGCAGCTGCTAGCATCATGGCTATGAGGTGTGCATGAGTGCCAGCACACACAGTTGGAAAGTCGCAGGTGCTGGATGGTGAAGACGGCAGGTATTAGGTCTCGGCTAAACAGCGGCTCTGGGTTAGTTTCTTTCCAAGTGGGATTTGTGCCAGTCAGGCTCCACCATTAATAGATTTATTAACACAGAAGACGAGGACACACGCTGCCATGCTCCAGATGGGAAATGGTGAGCATCAAGATTTTAGCACCTTCCTTGCCCCGTGCATCTCTGTCAGCAAGTGCTTATGCCAGAGGCAGCTTAAGTATTTACTGCAGAGTAGCTATTCTGAAGATCGACATCTCTGCCCCGTTATTTTCCTTGTTGCCAATTAGTAGCTGAGTGGGAAGCACAGCCACAGTTCTCAGTGTTTGGAATGCCATCTCTTGTGATAGGAATAAGCCTTTCCCTTGAAAACAATTTCCAACCATCTCAATTTAAGAGGCTCATTATTTTTCTAGACAATGCACCATTGCAGTGGGCCCAGTGCATACACATAATGAAAAGCAGTCTCTGTCTCCAGAAGTTTACCGCAGAGGAGAAACAGACTTCTGCAATGTCTCACAGTGGATCAGTCACAAAGCCAGTTTGAGAACTTGGCTTTCCTGACCTGCAATCCAGTACCTTAATCGCTGGCCCGTACTGAAGACACATGGCACCCGCACATCTATTCAATGAACATCAATACCATTAACTTAAATACTGTGCTTAACATCACTTTAAATGCTAAAAAAGGCAGGTCATATAAGATTGAGGGCTGTCACTTTGCCCTCATATTAATTCTTCAATATCTTGTTGCCCTACTGTATGGCAGAAAATTGAACAAGCAATGTGGAGGTGAGAGTTAAAAGTTTGTCTCACAGAGATGACAGCTTTTTAAAAATTGTGTAGGAGTCATTGCCACATGGATCCATCTCTCTCACTTCTGATTTCAGAATATTCCAAATGAGCAACAGCCTGTAAATTCAGGAGGTTGATGGGTTTTTTAAATGCAAATAAAGTATTTTTGATGTTTTTCTCTTCTGAACTCTGTGTATTTGGATTTGTGGTAACCAAAACACTTGATTACCCCTCACTCTCCAAAATAAAAGACCTTAGAAAACACATACACTAGTTTATGTTTAGCATAAGGCTAATATAGGATACCCAGGGGTATCCTAGTGAAATTGTAATACGTGACAATGTCTTACAAGAATATTATTTGAAGAGAGCCTTTTTATTTGCCTTTCAGATTAATCAGTTTCAACGTCTGGAGCAAGAGATCACGAAGCCGGTAGAGAACGACATCTCAAAATGGAAGCCACCTCAAACTCTCCAGACTGCGAACAGCACCGCCACCTCCCATGACAGCCAGCTGCTTTTATTCTATTCTGACCAGTGCGAGACTCACTTCAACTCCCTCCTAAATGCCATTGACGCCTTTTTCAGTTCCATCAATGCTTCTCAGCCCCCCCGAATCTTTGTGGCTCACAGCAAATTTGTCATTTTGAGTGCTCACAAACTTGTGTTCATTGGGGACATGCTCGCGAGGCAAGTGACAACTCAGGACACATGCAACAAAGTGATGAACTTCAGCAACCAGTTGTGTGAACTGCTGAAGAGTGTTGTTCTGGCTACAAAGATGGCTGCCTTGCATTACCCCAACACAGCAGCCCTACAGAAGATGGTGGACCGAGTAACAGAGCTGTCCCGTCACGCACAGTTGTTCAAACTCTCGCTGGTCCAAATGTCGTCGTTATGAAGCCCAGTGGAATCCAATCCATGAGCAGCGAAGCAGAAAAGCAAAAAAACTGGAGCTATTTTTATGTAAATATTATCATTTATTTTTTTTAGATTTTTTTATGAAGTATTTTAAATACATTCTTATACATTAGAGAATCTAATGAAATCAGGGATCTGGGAATATATCTGGTTCTGTATTATGTTTCTAATACACATTTAGATATGTATACACTGCATATATGTATATGTTGCTACATTCCCTCAAATGTCAATTAAGCACCTTAAAAATCATGCGTCGGGTAAGCAGCGCGTATCTTTTGTATACACCGCCTGTTTCCTCAGTGTATTTGTTAACTGGATGCTGCACTCTTCTCGTTTCATTCCATCTTGATTTTGGCACATGGACTCGGTTGTGAAACCTACTTGCAGCAATCCATGAAGCAAGTGTAATGGTTCTCATAGAACTCCATTCCCTTCTTAGAAATTACTTTCTATAGGTTAATTCCGTGAAATTTAACTCTCCTCTTGACGTTACTTTGTTATGTACAGCATTCGATCATTCTGAGTACCATATATATGCACAACTGCAACAAGCAGCGCATTAAGCGAGCCATACAACGTTTGGGAGAAAAGCATCTTTAGGCCATATAAGAAGCTGAACCTTCTAAGGAGGAAGGCAGAATCGTATATATTTAAGATTCAAATTTCACTATTTCTAACAACTGCACAACATGGGAATTCAAAATGTGGATGGATTCCCAGCAACGTAAATTCATACACGTTTACCTTGTATGACCTGGCATTGATAATTAAATTTAACGGTCAGGCTCAAAAGCCTTATTGTTCATGGACTCAGAGTTACCCCGAGAGCATCCCAGGATCCACTGGGCTCATCTTTGAGGCTGCAGATGAACAATGTCTCGAAATACCACTCCCTTCCAGAGGGATTAACATACAAATTGTAATTTATATGGAAAGAAAACAGCTTAATTTGAAGTAACAGTTACTTAAACATCTCTATAGCATAAACAAAATTTAATGACGAAATAGCACTTATTTTTCTAGAACATATTCTTGGGAATTAATTGCAGCTGTTGCAATTCTGACTTACATTCAACTGTTGGGCTTTTTTCCAAGTTCCATTGCATAGGTGCTGGTCCTTCTGCACTACACTATTGCCAAAAATGACCTCCCAATTTAATAGGGCCATTCCATCAATAAGTATGATCCCACATGATCCCACCCCATAATTTTCAATTTAGACCCTTAAAAATTGTTAGCGGAGTGGTAGAGTCCTTTAGAAATTTCATGTATGCTGGCCGCTCCAAAAAACATAACCCTTTGTCTTTATTGCCTTTTGTGAACCCCCTAAAAACAAGGCACAGAACGCCCGTTGCCTGTGGTCCTCAGACTAGAAGCCACACTTCAAAGTGGGCAATAGCTCAGGTAAATTCCAGGTGATTTCCGGTGTTTTTAAAGCAGAAACAGTACTGTCCCTGCGTAATTCAAGGTAGCCCCCCCACTGAGGCGTTCCGAGTGTTGGTATCAGCGAGCAGGTCACCGCTGCATACACGCTCGTGAGGTCAGTAGCACCTAAACCAGGGGCACTTGTGCCTAACCTTTTGCTCTCCCAGAACACATGCCTTACTGAAAGGGGAGTTGTTGTCTTCGATAACAGAACCATTTCATCAGCGTGTGAAATCTCGCAGCCTTAACATGTTGTCTCAGAGCGAAGCTACCATAACGTCGCTTCCAGAGTCTGCAGAACGTTCCCAGGAGGGCCAGCGGGAACCAGCACAACCTCGGCTGGCCCAGAATCGGCTCCAGAGCTTGGCTCTGGCCTAACCCCCAGGGAGGGTGGCTATCCTGTTGTAACCGATAGCCAGTTCCAACCCACGTGAGCCTGTTTTGTACTGGTGGTGTTTGGGATTCTTTTGGATTTCCTTGTCCATTGGTTTTTCACTGTATATTCTTAGAAAGTGAAAAAGCGTTTTGAAGCTTAGTGGTTATGTTGATAGTTTGTGCTTTCAAAAGGAGAACCTTTATTGCAAGCCTGTATTACAGTTTGTTATCTCGTAGAGAATAATTTTAACACGATTAAATGACTAGCTTTTTTATATAAAAAAAAAAAAAAGGCAACACTTGGTCTTATTTTTTTCTTGTTTTCAGAGTCCTCTAAGCACATTGCCGCTTGCCAATACTATCAAAGCCATTCTAAAATGGGGAGTTCACTTTCCTTCTTCTCACTGATGGGTGCTTACAGAGCGCAGTGAGAACTTGAGGGCGGTCAGGGGAAGGGACAGAGCGTTTCTCTGCCTGGCCAGAAGAAGCAGGCAAAGCATTTGTCCAGCTCGGCTACACAAGGCATCAAGTCCAAAATACAACCATCGGGGTCTACAGCGCACCAGGCCACTCTCCTGCCCCATTCCCGGTGGCTGTTCCTGCTGCACGAGCTGCACCCTGAACCACCTCGCCATAGCACGGGCACCGGTGCTGGAGGCAACAGGGGCAGCTCCTCTCAGCCCTGCCCCATGACACGGTGGGGCGGCAGGACTCAGACGCGGCTGTCCACCCGTTCTGGCCTGCTCCCCCTCCCCAGCATCTACCGGTGATCCACGCAGGAACTGGGAAAGCAACTTTGGTGGGTGTAGCCGTCCTTCCCCCACCCCACCCAAGGGCCAGAGCAGCCTCCTCCACTGCGTGCCAAGTCAAGCGTTAGCTGGGCACGGGTTCCATCTGAAACAACCACTCGGCTTTAAGGGGCGCGGAGTCTTTCCCAAAAGTTACTTTCTCATCTTGCTGTTGCCAAGGCGTGGCCCTACCTCCCGTCAAACACCCCGGGAGCACAAGGAATCATAGAATGGAGTCATAGAATCATAGAATGGTTTGGGTTGGAAGGGACCCCTAGAGGCCATCTAGTCCAACCCCCCCGCAGGAGCAGGGACACCGCTAACCAGATCAGGGTGC